CTATAATATCAAATGAGTATGAAATATTTATATATATATTTTAATTAAATTGTTTTAGAATATATAATAGAATTAAAAATAAATGCTCACATTATCACACACACACACACACACATATATATATATATATATATATATATATATATATATATATATATATATATAATTTCTTTTTTTGTATCTTAGATATATTCAAAGGAAATATATTTTAGGCTTTTCTATTTGTATCACCCAATTTGCTAAGTACACCTTCATGTCCTAGCCTGGGCCTTCATCGATTTTGCTGTATGTAAATTGTTTTCTTAACTTCATTACAAATAATATTATTAAAATACAACAATTATTGCACCTTGTATAAAATATTTTTTTAGTAAATTATTAAATGAAGGGTAAATGGATGATACAAATATCATCGATAAAAATTTGTTAAATCCATCGTGATAATATTAGTAGGTTAAATTTTATGTTTGAAATATCATTTGTTTTTAATTTTTAATTTATTCTAGTTTTATTTTTAAAATATGTTTTAATGAATTAAGAGAATAATGTATATATAAATTATATTTTTCGACTCTGCTGTAGACTTGTGAGTTTATTAGAATATTTATATTCGTTAATTTATCGGTAATTCTATTTATAATATTTATTTTATTATTTTAACATTACACTTAAAAACATATTGATATTTAAAATTATGAGTTTATTTTTTACTGTATATCTTATTTTAAATATGCGTTTCATATAAACCACTACATAAGTCATATTAAATATGCGTTTCATATAAAATTTAAAATATAATTTATAATAATAAATATTATTTTTGTTGATTCTCATTTACAAACTGTATATTGTTCATAAAATCTGGTTTAAGACAAAAAAATATTATTTGAGTAGACTATGTTTGGTAATGTAGAAAGGATAACGTAATGGATGAAAATTCTTATGAAATCACTTTTGTTTGTATATAAATTACGCATGCTTGTGTTGTTCTTTTCGTCTTGCTACGTGTTTCTATTTTCTTCCTCTTATTCCTCATCTTAATCGAAAGGTCAAAATTCCATACTTGCTTCTCGACCCAATTTCTAATTATTTTTTACTTAAAAAAAAAGTATCGATTTGTTTTGAAATTAATAAATTATACATGTATTCATCTATATTGTTTAACATAGAAATTTTGGAACCCTAGAAATTGGTATCAAAACAAGAATAAAGTGAGTGAAAGATTAGAAACCCTAAAACTAGATTCAACACATGTAAGGCCTCCATAATGTTTTCCATCTTTGATTGTAATGAAAAGGGGGAGAGTGAAACAAAAAAAACATGAAGATGTAAGATAAAGAATATTTATATTAATATTTTAAAAATGAAAAAATATAAAATGTAAAAGATGGTGTAGTTTAAAATTTAAATAAAAAGTATTTATTGAAGGGAGGAGATGGGATTGATTTTTAAATTTGTTAATTTTTTAAACTAAAATATAAAGTTACGTGAATAGTATTAGACGAAAATAAATTCAATTTTGATGGTTTTTTTTAATGTTTTGATAAAATAAAATAATTTTTTTAATATGGAAAATGAGATACAGATATATTTTAATAATTTTATCAGTTATAAACTTTCTAATTTTTAGTAGGATTATTTATTATAATCTAAAATTAAACTAAACTAATAAAACAAGAAGATAAGGAAAATTCATTCAATAGGAAAAGGAAATGACATCTCCAATAAAAGTTTTTAATTATAATTGCTTAAAAATAAAATTAAATATTTTATTATGAGTTACAATTGAATTACTTAAAACATGGTCAGAGTTACTTATCTAAATAACTTTCTTCTAATTTTAAATAATCTTTTTTCTTTTTAAGCAATTTAATTATAAAATTCATGATAAAATATTTACTTTTATTCTTAAAAAATTCTTACTAGCAACTCTGGTTAGAGATACTCATGTATGTATATGTAATATAATAGACACGTGTATATATAATTATTTAATTTAATTTTTTATTTTATAACTTAGACAATTACATTAGTTTAGATTTTCAATTTAAATAATACATTAATCTTATAATTTTTTAAAAATTATATTGGAACTTTATATACGTAAAATTAATTTGTTATTTTAAAAATATTTTTGTAACATTGAGAATCTATTAATGTTCTAATTTTTCGATTGAGATTGTCGATATATTTATAGAATATATATATATATATATATATATATATATAACATGTATTATAGATATGTGATCACTCATTCTAGTTTCAATTTTAAAAAATTGTTCAATGATTATAATTCTCTACATGATATAAAAATACATTATGTGTATGAGTATCTTCTCACTCACATCAAGTGAACCCCAGGTTGTAGTAGGAGGAAAAATGAAGGAGTTAAGGAGATGAAAAGTATAAACTTAGAAAAGAAAATAATATTAGGAGTCACAACACAATTAGCAATAACCAACAATTAATAATACTTTTTTAAATTAATATTAGGAGTCTTGCATGTTGTATTTGAATATTAGTGTTCTCTCACATAATGAATTGATATTTTGGATTTGATTATTGTTATTAAATTCTAACATATACAAATTAACATAAACTCATTCGAGTAAATAAATATGGTAACTTAATTTTTGTATGACAAACCAAACTTTATAATATTTAATAAACATTAATACAAAACTATCTTGTTGAATCCTTCATAATGTTTTATTCTATTATCTTTAGATTATAGAAAATAATAGGGGAACATGTTTAGTTTGTCAATATGGTATCATTAAAAAATTTTGGCTACTCAAAAGTGTTATGACGTTTTAAAACATTAAAAAAAAACACAATTATTGATAATACAACAATTACGAAACATGTGGATATGTTTATTATATCTCTGTATAATACAACAATATCATAAAACTTAATATAATTATATCATTAATCAAAAGATAATATTTCACAAACCTAAGGATACTTATGAGAACATTTCTACATAAAGACCAAGCAACTTACTCTTTCCATAGTTATATCTACTTTCTTGCTTATTATTCTTTCGAATATTTTCATGGAAACATCATCGACAGCTATATCTCAAGTTGATACTGTACTCATTTCTCATTATTATTATTATTATTATTATTATTATTATTATTATTATTATTATTATTATTATTATTATTATTATTATTATTATTATTATTATTATTATTATTATTATTATTATTATTATTATTATTATTATTATTATTATTATTATTATTATTATTATTATTATTATTATTATTATTATTATTATTATTATTATTATTATTATTATTATTATTATTATTATTATTATTATTATTATTATTATTATTATTATTATTATTATTATTATTATTATTATTATTATTATTATTATTATTATTATTATTATTATTATTATTATTATTATTATTATTATTATTATTATTATTATTATTATTATTATTATTATTATTATTATTATTATTATTATTATTATTATTATTATTATTATTATTATTATTATTATTATTATTATTATTATTATTATTATTATTATTATTATTATTATTATTATTATTATTATTATTATTATTATTATTATTATTATTATTATTATTATTATTATTATTATTATTATTATTATTATTATTATTATTATTATTATTATTATTATTATTATTATTATTATTATTATTATTATTATTATTATTATTATTATTATTATTATTATTATTATTATTATTATTATTATTATTATTATTATTATTATTATTATTATTATTATTATTATTATTATTATTATTATTATTATTATTATTATTATTATTATTATTATTATTATTATTATTATTATTATTATTATTATTATTATTATTATTATTATTATTATTATTATTATTATTATTATTATTATTATTATTATTATTATTATTATTATTATTATTATTATTATTATTATTATTATTATTATTATTATTATTATTATTATTATTATTATTATTATTATTATTATTATTATTATTATTATTATTATTATTATTATTATTATTATTATTATTATTATTATTATTATTATTATTATTATTATTATTATTATTATTATTATTATTATTATTATTATTATTATTATTATTATTATTATTATTATTATTATTATTATTATTATTATTATTATTATTATTATTATTATTATTATTATTATTATTATTATTATTATTATTATTATTATTATTATTATTATTATTATTATTATTATTATTATTATTATTATTATTATTATTATTATTATTATTATTATTATTATTATTATTATTATTATTATTATTATTATTATTATTATTATTATTATTATTATTATTCATAACTCTAACTCAACCTAGGAATGTTCTATTTTTAGTAATAACAATTACAAATTTATTTTAAAAGAAATCAAATGCAACTTTCTTTGAAATAAATAAGAAACAAATAATCATATAAAAACTTATTCTTTAACCTTCCCGTGAAAAGCATGTGTAACAGGACAAGTTCTAACCAAAACAGGATTAGTTTCGCTATCAGCAAGGAATGTGAACCTTGTTTATCTTTCTATCAGTAATTATTGAACAAAAACAACTAAAATTATCCATCAGCACTAAAAATATCCATCACCAATCATGGTTGAAACTTGAAACTCCTTCAACTGTCTCCGTCAAGGTAAATAAACATGATCCAACCAATCGAAACATGGCTTCGGACAATCTCTAATCTCTCTACAGTACCAAATACAAAATAAATGCTCACCATAAATATCTCCCCTACCAAAGCCCAATATTTGATAAATCACTTCAATTTACATGTTACCTGCATCATGCCACATCCTAACGTACCTACCACACAAAACCTACAGTGTTTGTACAAAGCCAGAATGAAGCAATAGTGGGATATCCAATGCAGGTATTATTGATCTTCTCACATACAATAGATCCCCCACTGTCTAAGATATAGTCATTTCTCTAGTTTTAGGATGTCCTATCTGACGACGTGTGATCATTTTTATCAGAATTGAGATTGATATTCGATTGTGATATATCAGCTGATGCAACATCATTATGCTGATTCTCTTCTTTCTTTGAATTCAGAAACCGACCACCACATCCTCTTGGTCTTCTCAGTGCGTGCATGTGTCGAGATTCATGCAAGTATGGCTGTAATATTTATCACAAGATAAGAATAAGTAAGCACCTCCAGCTCTAGAGAGAAAGTGAAGCAAGCGGCTTACAACAATAGCACATTGTTTTGCATTGTTTTACAACAACATAACTTTTGGTATTATTAGAAAGAACTATAAACATGCAGAGAATGATATACCTTCCTATTCCTTATAGCTTTATTTTCTGATTCAGCTTTTGCACGGGATTGTCTACGTCTCAATATACCGTGATATTGTTTTGCATTGACAAACACGGGCTCCTCAACTGCATCAGTTGGCAGAGGAACACCAGCTTGCTGAATTCCCATTAACTGAAGATGGACCTGGAACAAGTCATGTTTCAATAATTGGAGGATAAGAAAAGGATACAAAATGACTCTACAATATTAGCAGAATCAACATTAAAGAATTAGAGCAAACCATTGGCTGTCCACTATAGGCTTGCGGGGGATAAGATTGAGTATCATAAGGAGCAAAGATGCTTCTATAGTAAGGATCTGGATATGGATACACAGGTGGTACCTTCAATTAGATAAGAAAGTAATATAAATCAGTAACATGCATAAAACATTTTCATTCTAAAATTAAATACTAAGAACAGTACTAGTGCAAACTGTGATTCTGGACATACTTTAATATCATGTCTAAATAACAACTGATACCAGTACTCGCTTAGGAAATTATTCATTTCCCTTTTCAATAGCCATGACAAAAAGGCTATGGTTTTTTAAGATCAACCTTAATGAACACAACCTCTAAAGAAAACTAATTTATAAGAAAAACTTCAGATTGCATAATTATTTGCCAGGCCAGAAGCTTTGGGTCTTCTGTTAACTATAACAAGATCCATAAATTTATGGCATCCAGAAATCCTTTAATATAATAGCTGCTTTCAAATTAGCTTGTTGTGGCACATGAGGAATGCTCACCTTCAAGGATAAAATTTAAACGTTAAAAAGCCAATAACTCATGAATTAAGGAAGTATAAAACCTGGGGAAAATTTTCATCATCATTTGCTAATATTCAGAGTCAATTTGCTTCAATGACAAAACAACGGCAATGTGCGTCTATCTTATACTTACGCCAGGCAAGACACAGTAGATGGTATCTAATGGCTATGGTCTATACAAAACAAACCAATTCCTTATTATTTCAGGAATGAATTAAATATTAGGACGCTGATTCAATGACGACTGATGATGTCTAATAATTGAGAAGCATATCCCTTTTAAGACAACCGGAAGAAAACCCAAAGACAAATGAAGTTCATACCATTGCATGCCCAGTTCCAAGCTGTCCAGGTGTTGCATACTGTACATTGAGATTCTGGGTACTAATACCAGAATCAGAAATTCCATTCGCAGATGGGGACTGCACTTGTGATTCTGACTGCTGCTGTCCATCATCTTCATTATCTGCATAAACATTTTGCTACATAAGTTCAGACAGTAAAATTTGTTGGAATAAAGTGAAGGAACAAGTAAAATGCTTAAAATTAAGAAAAACAACAAACTTCCAATTGGATTAATTGCGAAGAAGCTCAATCTAAAACCAACAAAATATCTTAAAAATGAACCAACAAATTTTATAATGCATGTGCAACAATCAGAATGCAAAAGCATCTTTCATAGATGGAGCACAAAGTCTAGATTTATGTTGAGTTTTTACTTCAGTTTGACGTTAACTTCTACAGAAATCTGTTAACTGCTAAACATGTATAATTTCATTTTTTTTCATCTCAATTTAATGCACACATTTTTTGTAGAAGACTATTTCCTCAGCTACACAGCAAGGATCTTGCTACAAACTCCTTCACACCAATTGTCTTTACAAATCTTTAAAAAATTAGCTTGAATAAGGAAAAATTCAATAAATTAGTCAAGAAAACAGAGAGTTATAAACATTGTTGGAAAAAGAAATGCAAAGAGGGGGAAAAAGCATAGTTTATTCATAAATAAATTTCACCATGTGAAAAAGGCAGTAGTCTACACCACCAGCATAAAAGCCAAATGAGAAGAACTGAATTTGCAATTTGCAACTATTGTATTATGGGAGGAAGTTAATTGAGTGTAATTAAATATTCTCAGGCAACATATACAAAAAGATTCTTCATTTCTTACTATGTTAGAATCTAAGGGAGTCTTATGCTCGAAGGGGAAACTGATATTTTCATCCGATACCAGGATATGAATAAAGCAAATATAAGAAAGATGAATAATTACCATATGTATTTGGATACAAATAATATATAAAGACCTAATACAGTCTAAACCCGTTCACAATCCCACTCTCCAGTGAGGCAGAGGGAGGAAAAACATCACAGCCATTTTGGCTTCAGATGTTCCAGGTAACAGTATCAGAGTGTAGCATACAATACACGAATACATTCATAGTTCTAACAGTTTACCATTTTCACATGATAAAGTTATAGAATCTAGAGTGCGAACTGGAGTTGCTGAGGGAAGGTTAAAGAACAACAAAGCAATATTAATATATTACCTGTTTAAATATGTTTATAGTTCCTCAAATTTGAGTAAGTGTTTTTCGTTTTCTGAATTTAAAATTGATCATTTTAGTCCTTATAGTTTGAAAAATGTTTCTATTAGTGCATCTGCCATAAATATCATTAAAGACTCCGCTTATATAACTAGCAATTACAAGTCATTTATGTGACAACCTATTTCGATTTCCATTTTTATCATTAAATATTCAACCACATGTTTATTTTTCTTTTAAAGTATTCATTTCAACAATGTTTATGCTTAAGAAATTTGGGCCGTGGGACTAAAACAAGTTTTTTTTTTCTAATTACAAGGACTGAAAAAATTAATTTTAAATTTGAAGGACCAAAAATAAACTTAACTCAAATTTGAGGGACGGACAATATATTTAAGCCATATAATTACATGTTATGTAGGACAGAAGGGTGGCCAGCGCAAGAGCTAGTTAAAAACAGAGTTAAAGGATTAGACGATTACAGGACAATGCTAAAACTGAAAAAAGTTTAGAAGTTCAAATTTTGTTAAAATAACAAACTGAGATACTATGAAATATGAAGCTAAAATGAGATACTTATTGATGTTTAAAGATAGTATATGAAGCTATTTATAAACACCAAAAATATAATAGCTAGGAAATGTTGATTGCAGTACCTTGGCAAGACATCAAAATAAATATGCATCCCAGAAAACCAGCAATCATGCACCATAATAGCAAAAGAAGAAGACAAGGAATAAATCATTTTATGCAGCTACTGTGCAAGTGTATGAGTTCAATGACTTGCATGATTAAAAGATACATAGGCAACACCAAAAGATGGGGAGCTATAGATCTATGATACGAAGATCAACATCATTTAATGCACAATAATAATTTTCAGGCGGTAACCAATACAGAAAGGGTAACATCCAGTGTAGTTGCCTATATGAATTGTAGCCAAAGATTAAAAGTTACTAGACAGTAAGAAACATGAGTTTTTATGAAAATAAAGAGCTTAACTATCTGCCTCTGAAAATTATCATTTTTATTTAAGAAAGGTATTTTTTACCATTTCTTATTATTTTCACAAAAGAATAATTCCATCACACAAAACAATTTAAAAGAAAATTTCACTGCACTCACAACAGTAGTATTCATCTTTTCCATTTTCAACTTTACTAATTTCTGTTGGGTAGAAATTGCTCCATGAACAATTCCTTAGACTGAGACGGCCTATTGTTATTGTAACAATTCCGTTAGACACAAAAATGCAATGATATCGCTCCATCATATGTTGTTAACTAAACTTGGGACATGCAGGTAATCCTCTCACCACAAATGGGAAAGTTACAGCAAAATAATAACTTGCACCAAGGATTTTGTTCATGTAAAATACCAGTAAGGTTGTGAGCAGAGGTCATGTTTCGGGAGAAGCACGTTGTTACACTGTCCAAACCTGGAACCAGAACAGAGTTTGTTGACGCAATTTAAGAGTATTCAAGCCACATGCTATAAGGATAAAACAGAGTAACTGAAACTGAAATGAAAACTAAAACTATATATATTACCTATACCATAAAGCCAGAATAAAGAGATATAAAAGCACATGATAGAAATGGATGGAATAGATCGGATAACAATTAGAGAGATACAGAAGACGGACAAAAATTGGTCAAGAGAAGATATAACTAATTTGCTATTATTTGTTACAAGTTGTTCACTGGTTCATTTAGCTCGGGTAGAAGGAATAAAAATATAAAGAAAACTCAACTATAAAAACCTACAATTTCAGATAAAGTGATAGCAGAACATTTGAATACCATGCTAAACAAGGGAATTCCACCAACCCAATCGAACAAAGAATTCCAAATTTGCAAGCAAAAGTGGCGAGAGTGAGAAAATAACAGTTGGGGTAGTTACACAGTAGTTCCCACAAGCTAAAAAAAAATTGCAAACAGACAACCTTAAGAACATGCCAATCCCAATAAATTCATCTCTTTCTTCTGATTACATATTGGCTCCGAGTGATATCCAGCGAAAATTATAAACTAACGAGCAGTAAACGAAAACAAGAGAGAGAATAAGAACTGTGGGGTCAAATAAACAGAAAAGAAAATTAGAGAATGGGAAAACAGAATTGGAGGGAGGAAAATTAGGGTTTAGAAAATGAAAATTAACCTTGCAGAAGTTGAATTGTTGTGGTGGAGAGAAAAGTGGGTGTGGTGTTGTGTAAGAAGAATTGTGTTGTGGTGTGTTGCGTAGTGTTTGTGAGTACACAGCTACTATGCTGGACCCTCCCTATCCACACACCAAATCCTGCATCTTTCTTTTGCTTCCAATTCCGCACAGACACTTCCTTCCACTTTCCTTTTCTTTTCTCTTCTCTCTATGTGTGGTTGGATGTTTGCCAAACAATATTCTCTACAAAATACTCAACCTTTTCTCTTTTTTATTACTATTATTACGTATAATTGTTTTTCATAATAAAAGTATAATTTTATCCAAATCGTACAATTTTAAATATTTACTTGATTTATGCAATTCATGAATTTTAATTTATGCAATTCATGAATTTTAAGTGGATGATAAAATAAATTAGATGAAGCGATGATTTTAATCCCTTTAAATTTACGTTATTTTGTTCTAATTATTTTGTTAAATCGACATATTAAATGGGATCAAATGGATTAATCCATTATATATATATATATATATATATAATATATAAATTAAATTAAAATTAAAATTATAATATTTTTTATCATATTATTAAAATATATAAATATATTATAATATTATAAATATTAATTAATTTAAATTTAAATTATTAATTAAATTAATTATTTTAATTTATAAATATAATTACTTTTTAAAATTATTTAATAAAAATATTAATTAATGAATACAATTTTTAAAATCATTATAATTATATATATATATATATATATTTAAAATAAACATATAAAAAAATTATATATATAAAAAAATAATATTGATGGAGTGGTTTATTAACTTGCTCACTTGCCTTTTGATTAATTGGCCAATTCACTTTATCTTATTTTTTTACTATAAATAAAGAGTCAAAATGATATAGATTAATCCATTTTATCATTATTAATTTTAATACACGGTGAATTATTTTATTTTGTACGTGTGAAAAATATTATAGTTGATGTCTTATCAATTAAATAAAGTAAACCCTTGTAAAAAAATATAAATAAATTATTATATATAAGTACTTTTAAAAAAGAATTATCTATAATCATAAAATTTTAAAAAAGTATAAATTAACTATTATATATAAGTACTTTTTAAAAAAATAAATAACATTTTGTTATCTATATCACAAAATTGTGAATTATACTACCATGCTTAATATTGATTTCAATAATATCACAAAATGTTATCTATAACATTTTTGAGTTTAATTAGGTAAATAAAAACTATGTGCTCAATTAAGCCTTATATTTCAAGGAAAAAAATAAGGTTTTAAGAAAAAAATAATAATAATAAGAAAGAAATGAACAAATAAAAAATAATTTTCCTCTAATAAAAAAAAAACAATGTTATTTTTATAAAAATATTTTTTAATTATTATATATACAAAAACTTTTAATTATGTTTTTTGGCATAATATGGTAAATATTAAAATTATTATTTTATAATTTAATGTTTTTTATAATAAATATCATTTTATTAATTAAATTCAAGTATTTTTAGAAAAAAATATGGTTCCATGATAAAAAAGTATTATATATACACACACGATTAAAAGTGATATTTAATTTAAAAATATAAATTTAAAATGTTTAACTTTATAGTTATATAAATACTTAATTTGTTTATTTTTTCAAAATGAATATTTTATTTATTTTTACCACGAATATATATTTTCTTTTTATTTTGTTTATTGTGTTCTTCTCTCACATGTTTTCCCTTCTTATCGAATTCAGATAAATTGAATAAAAAATTACACTCTTCATGATTTAAAATTTAAATAATTTCACCTTATATATTTATATAAACTAACTGATAGAAAGTTTTAAGTATGATTTATAGTTTTATTTTTAATACAATTTATTATTTTATATTATATTTTCTTTACTTTTCACTAATCTTAATCCTGTTTGTGAATTATTTTACAATATTTCAGGTTTTTAATTTTTTAATTTTTATTACTATTTAACATGAATACCAGCCTATTAGTTTATGGGCCTAAGTAGGTCAACTTGCGAGCCACAGAATCATATCAGATTTGGTTTAACAAAGTCCTTTTGGGCCTCTACTCTCTGCACCCCCAAAATTGAGAGTATATTGCTAATAATGTTTTTTAAGAGTACAATTAGATTAAAACAAATTCATATGTATAGAAATTAAAATACTCTAAGATTATTAAATACAATATAATAGAAAGCAACATGTTAATCACCGAATTATTTATGAGTTTAATTGAGAAAAATAATTTGATTTTTTGGAATAATGACCAATAAAAAGTTTTATATGCCGTGTGAATAATATTTTTTTTTCAAAAATCGAAGTAAATATATCATGTTCTAACCCAAAAAATTAAATTTTTATTCCCACCAAACATTCAACCTCTCCCATGGTTCTTATATAATTTTTTGCTCAAACTTTTTATAACTTTATAAATTTGTTCATAGCTTCAAACCAAAACACTACCTTTTTTCAGAAGCTAGGGAATACAAATCTAACAATAAAAAGAAACACATTGTTACATCCATAAACATGCATTAATATTAATTATTCTGTTAGTCTAAATAGACTAATATATATTTATGAAATGATTATTACATTTTAGTTAAAAATAATTAAAAATTTTTAAAAAGTAAGAATGTACTGTGTGGACTTCACAATTGGGCCAGCTTGCACTGACAGGGCCCACTTTATTCTCTGTTTTTCTGATTAACTAAAGGAATAAAATGATGCAACAGTTGAACACTGTGTCCATGCATAACCTACCAGGTGGTTGTGCTAACAAAATATATAGGTACAATATATTTTTAATATTCTGACCACCTATCTAATTTATGTGAAATTTTTAATATTTTGAGAGTAAACATATTAATCATAAGATTACATATTTATTAGTCGTTAAATAAAGTCTAATAATAAATTATACAATATATTCAATAAACAAATTTTGATATTATCTAATAATATAATTTAATAAAATTATCTTATCTTTAAAATAGATAAGGTGGAGAGAGAGGGACCATAAAAGTTATGATTAGATTTTTTTTAATTTTATTAAAAAAACATATTATAATTAGATTTGTAAAATAGACAATATTTTAAATATGATATTTAGTTTAATAATATTTTTTAATATATAATATCTTAAACATGATAATTAACTTAATAAGGTTATTTTAAATAGTGACAGATTTAAGATTTTAAATCAATAAAAATAATTTATTTTTTAAGTTCAGTGGTGTATTTATATATTCTTAATTAGATATTTATCATATATTCAACTATATAAGATTAAGAGAAATAAAATAAAAAAATATTTAAATACTTAATAATAATTTTAACAATATTATTCTTCAACCTAATTTTGTTTAATCCTGCAATTTACCAAGGAACAATAGGCTACAATGCACTTTGTGGTTTGAAATTGAATTTTTTGGAGAGATTTGATATTTTGTGAGCAAGCTTCAAGCCCTAACAGAAATTCAAAAGAGAGGGAAAGCAAGGAATGGAGGTTGGAGTTCCAAGTTGGTGCATCTGCAAATGCAAAGCAACATGATGAACATCAATCAACCAACCAACACAAAACCATGCATGTACACACAAACAAAAAACATCATCATCATCATCCACAAAATGCATGTCACCTTTAATTATACCTTTCCATGTGTTCTATAATCAACACCATGAGGCTTCTTCCACAAATTTATACATTTCTGCATCATAATTAACAAAACCAACTAAGCCATGCTCCTTCATTTTATGCTCAATCATTGCATATTTGACTGTTTCTTCTCCTTCTTGCCACACACACTAGAAAACAATAATTACAGCTTATAAAATCAGGGGTAACACTCTACCTACGCATCAAATTAAAAGAATTTTATACACTTATTACATCTAATTCAAAATACTTAATTTGATTTTAATGTATTCTACAGTTTTTTAATTAAGTAAAATGAATTTTATACACCACTTTGAATTTAATTGTTTATAGTGAAATTTGAGTTTAATTGTTTATAATGAAATTTAAGATTAATGCAAGAAAAATCCAATATAAATTATTATGATCTTATAAGAAATTCTCAACCCTATAAAAACATAAAGATTCCATGCATTTTATTCCCTTTTCATCTGAAAGTAAACACACCATGGATCGATTATTTATTCTCAAATTTTCGGGGTAAATGAACAAGATGAAGCCATGAATAAAAGTGTAGGTCAAGAGGCAAGAGGAATAAAGCCTAGCGTATATCTTCTTTTCTTTCTTTTTTTTTTTACTGGTACATGGATTGTGACTTTTTCTTTTTTATTTGTTCTTTTATACTATTCCTAATTCCTTCCTTCTACCACTTTTCTCTACAAAAGCAATTGTATAAAGGAGTAAAACCCGCCATTATCTTCGGAATTTTCCTTTCCGATTTCTTGTCCCACTCACTTCCCTTTACTTTTTTAGTTTTTCCTCTTCTTGGTAGCTTCGCACTTGCCTGCATTTTGTTACAAAGGAATATTTTCGTAACATTTTTCATCCCATATAACATTTGAAAGTGTTCATTTCTGAATGATATTATTATTAAATTTTATTATTATGTCGGAAAAATTATTTGTTTTCAAATTTTAATTCATCACATTTTTAAGTTAAAAAACAAATATGTTTATAAAGTATTATTTTATTTGATGACTAAATAATATAAAAATTACAAGTGTGTACCAAAATACATTAATAAAGTTTTAGATTTAAATTTTTTTATAAACTTTTTTTTTATCTTGTATGTAAAGAGTTTTTAAAGATGATAAAATTATAATAAATCAGAATTTTAAAACAGAAAATATTTGAAACATAACAGCGGGAGAGAAAATTGAAAGATTTTTAAAACTTTAGAGAAAAAAAAAAGGTTTTAAAATATTAGTGAGACACACGAGGACTTGTGTGTGACATTCTCGTAGATTCTTAAAAATTCATTACCAGAATGCTAAAAAAAAGTGAATAGTAGTAAAATGACAACTGAGATAGCGGCGAAGGGCAAACTTTAACTTTTTTTCCTCCGACACATTGTAAACAAAGACAATTAAAATGGTTGAAAAAACTTCACCCGAAAGAAAGAAAAAAAAAATATTTTTATTTATTTATATATAATTTATGTACTTAATTTTGAACACTAACACAAAACCCTCTCTTCTTTTCTCTCAGTTACATCATTGCTCATTTAAACGACACCGTATTCGAGATCATAGTTCCCTGTCTCTATATATGTATGCTTCTTTCTCTTCTTCACTGTCACAGAAAATTACCGGAACCACATAATTCACCCTCCATGGCCGTTCCCTTCGCGCTCGTTTTCTTCGTCGGAGTTGTCGTCGTCGCCGGAGCTTCCAGAGAGCTCCGGCCATCGGAACACGGCCTCACCTTCCAGACACTGTCGCCGGCGGGGGCGCATTCATCGCCTGAGATGCGCTCCTTCTTCAACAGCGCCAACGCCTCGCCGACCATGTCATCCTCCTCCGACGTCGCGCTACCGCGGGCCATGGACTCCGGCGACGCCTCCCCTCCCGCGTGGTGGCAGCCAGCCGGAGGACACGGCGGAGACGGCGTGGGGAAGGCGCTGACGGTGGCGAGCCTGGTCTGCGGCGTGGCCGGCGCGGTTCTGCTAGTGGCTTCGGGCTTGATCTATATGTTCAAGCACCGAAGCAAAAAGCAGAAGAAGCTGAACGCAGCGTGTTGCGGCGAGAATGGGAATGATGGTGAAAACGACGTAGAGGAGAGCAACAAATTGCAATTGGTGGTACGTAATCCTTGAGGATTTTGCGCTTTTGTTTTCATTTCGATCCTGATTCTGATTTTGATTTTTCATTCTGAGTAGTGTTGTATGATTAATTCCACGTTGCATGTAAAGGGTAGCGTAGCGGTTTTAGATTTATGACTTTATTATATAATAATATATATTTGTTTATTTATTTCTCATTTCGTTTTTCTTCTTTTTAGATAACTAAAATATTTATATTTAAGTTAGTAAATGAATCTTTCTGATTTCAATTCTAAAATGGTATACCTTTTTAACAAAATGATTCAATTTTAACAAAAACCTTTTTAATAAAATGAGACAAAATGTATATAAAGCTAGCACAAATAAAATCATTTATTTATTTTTACTCAAAAACCAATCTTAGGTAATGATAATTGAATATCGTTAATTTCAACTTTTTTGTTTAGTTTTCCTAATTGACTTGAATCACCTGTGCACCCAATCGCCAGATATATATTATTATAGTACCCTCAATTTTTTAGGGCTCTTCCCATCTTTTGAATCCACTTTTGAATATATTTATAAAAAATATTTTTATAAATGATTATTAAGATAAAAAGTTAAAAAATAATATTTTTCAGAAGTTAAAATTAAATTTTATTTAAACTAATTTGTAAAGGTTTTTTTTATAATTTTGTATTTTAAATTTATACATAAACTTATTTTAATTGACAAATACATTTATTTCATTTTTAATTTCTTAAAAAATAAATATAAAAAAGTGGGTACAAACATAACCTTTGTGCAAAATTTAAGGAATATATGTCTCAGCATATCTAGAACATATGCAGCAACATATGAATGTCATCCCAAAACCTCTTCTTTTTTCTCCTTCTTTTTGACGCGCCATATAGTTGTAGTTATTGATTAGGAAGGAATTCAAATATTGTTCCTTGAATCCAAGAATGCTTCATTCGGTTCTAGATAAGTGTTTCCTGTAATGAAGACGAAATGTCAATGAAAACATCAATTGATAAAACGTATGAAAATAATTGGTTGAATCCAATAGATTTGTTGTACATGTTTGATAAGGCAACTTAAATTTGAAGAAATACTCATTTTTTTAATAGTTCTCTTAAACATTTGACCAAAAAAAGTTTTTCAATATAAAAGCTAAAAAATGTTTATCTTTTGTAATATTGATTTTGTAATTAATTTGATCAATTATTTTTTTTGACATATTAAAGAATAATTTTCAGTATGCATCTTACAACAACCCAATCTCCTGAGCATCTAAGATCTAATATGGACTAACCAGATAGATAGCTAAATTTCAAACAGGGCAAAAACTAGGAAGAAATTTTTTTCACATTTCACTCAACATGAAACATAGGATAAGAATTAACAGATATATTTTCTCACACAATTTTTGTATTGATCATTCTTGTAAAATTAAAGAATAGACACTAGCTATATTCAGCGGGTGGAAAGGAAAACAAAAAATCAAATATAATATATCTAAGCACACATGTATCATGGTTTTGAGAAAGCAATAACATAGCACATGTTTCTCTATACACCATTTAAAACAGAGACATTGAAAATGACATGCAGCTAAAATCCATTCTTTCTTCTGCTAAACTTCATCATGTGTAGTTTAATAATTTAATTGTAAAATTAGAGAAATGAACACAAAATGTTTAGTTATTTGTTATAGGACGATGGATAAAAGCAGCATAAAATTAGAAAAAAAAAACCTTTATAAGAGAATGGAAAGATTAATTGACAGTAATTTACCTAATGATCAAGACTCAATAGGTATCCACTCAAGTGCTAAGTCTAATTCTCCAGATTCAACGTTCTGGAGCTTGATTGTCATCTCCTGTTGAACCTTACCATCAACAATATTGACCGGGCTATCATCTATAAGCGCATTGTCATGGGATTTCAGCCATTTTCCTATCTGCATATTCTCAAACATGCTAGGATCTCCATATGTCATTGCAGATGTAATCAGGGGTTGAAGATCTATGTCTGCTTCCCCCATTATATCATCACATGAAAATAAGTCATAATCAAATACCTTCTGCAATTCAACGTAACCACCGGTTATGATAATGTGCCATGTTTTTATATCAGAAATCAATTTTATATCTTTCTACCATAACAAACACATACAAAGACAGCTACAAGCATCACATATTATGATCCAAATATCCAACCACCAAATAAGAAACCCCGAATTGGCGGAGGCTATAAACAACCACCTTGCTCCAAACTATAGTCCCATTAGAGGATCGTTGGAGAAAAACAATATTTGATTTCCAATGTAGAGAAAGGGTATAATGAGAGAAGGAAGCTTTGAGTAGGATTTGGTTGTGATAATGTATGGATTTGGTTTTGCAATGAAAAGGGAGTCATGCATTGCTGAGGAATCAGGAAGAAGAAGCTCAAATGATTTGTCTGCATAAAGTAGAAATGTAGAATAGACCCTGAATTTGTTTCCATTTTCTAACAAAAACAAGATAAAATTCAAACTTACCAAATTCAATAATCCAAATTTCTGATTAACAGACAGCATAAGTTCTTCATTCCAGACTGGATTCAGATTACTCTTTACTACAGTTGTCTGAACAGTCTGAAAGTGAGGCACCAAAGCGAATTGAAAATTATCAACATGTAGCACTCTTCAATTAAAAATAATAGATTAAGAGCATAAGTTTACCAAGAATATATGCTAATGAGAATTGAGAACAACTAACCTGTTGGCCAAGTGTGAAGATAACATATGGATCACTTGTCATCATATCTCTGATAGCTAAATCCGTTCCTTTGATCACTTTTACCTTCAACTTTCCAATAGATCTTCCCTTTCCGTCCTGTTTTGACCATAAATATCAATCAAACATCCAAGGAAACCACTCACAAAATTAATTCCATTGCATATACTACCAAAGTTGTAAAGTTGGATTAAGGCAGCAAGAATTTCCCACATAAAGTTATCTCGATTAGAAGGCTTTCATCTGGGTATAACATCTATTTAAGTCAGTGAAAATCTAGTTCACATTGATTTGCTAACACTACATATGGTCAACAAACAAACACAACTCCTCCATTAAAAGGAAATAAATTATAAAATTTAGTTACCTGATTCTGTGAACAACTACTACTTAGAAAATTATCCATAAGCCCTTTGTTAATATTTGCCCGGGGATTGGTTTTATCTGACATAATGCGCAAACTAGGTTTCAAAAATTCTTGCTGCTCATACTTTAACCTGCGGTAAAATCGTCACAAATTAAAATGCCACTCTCATTATTGATCATATTGGTATCATGAAGATGCTACCATGAGCAATATCCCAACTCCATGTTGATCAGTTAATTATCAAACTAGGACGGCGGACTGTGATTAAAAGGACTACAGAAAATTACAGAATCTTAAAAATAAATGACTCGGTAAAGCCATATGGTAAAAAAAAAAATCATGAGAAGAAGAAAAAAAGGGTGAATGGTTTTTTGAAGTGTGTACATTTTTTTCTAATTAGTCTTTGAAGGTCAATAAATAAATAACTAATCCTTGAAAATAACTTTCATCTTTCAGATTATTCTTTTGTTTCAAACAAGTCCTTATATAATAATATATATTATCACTAAAATACAATTTAGTCCTTACATATATGAACTAAATTGTATTTTATCATAACATAGAAGGACAAAATTGCATTTTAATGATAACATGTTAGGATGTACTTGAAATGAAAAATGATTGTGAGAGATTAAAGCTACTTTCAATAACTTTATTTAAATTTATTTAAATTATAGGATTAATTTGAAACTTTTGTACACTTCAAAAAACAAAATAGACTGTCCTATCAAGAAAAAAATTGCAATGAGAACACAAAAGTTCATTGCTCTACCCAGTTTTGTGATGCCATAAATATAATAGATTTATAAAACAAACAAAATGATGGTAAGAATGGTAGTGTAAAGTGTAGATGAAAAACTATTCTAACCGGATGAATTTTGCACGCTGCTCATGACTGGCATCTGGTCCAGGTTTTGTACATCCAGGTGGAATAAAAGCCTCATAAATTGAATTAGCAGAAGAATTTCCTCCCACTTCAATCATTGCATCTATTTCCTCATTTGACCATTCATCCAATGTCACAGACAAAATCTGAAAGTAAGAAAATAATGTTCCAAGGCTTTAATGTATGACCAGACAAATAAGTTTAACACACTATTAACTTGATACACACAACTCGTTGAAAAAAAAGGGGGTGTGATATGATTTTAAAAAAAACTTCATGCACCTTGCTTCAGTGGCTTAGGCACGTCATGAAAATAACAAGTTTACTTCTTAGCTAAAGTTACAGAGATTCATTTCTGACTTGTGTCTACCAGTTTGGTTGGTTCTGTCTGCTTTAATATAAAATTTCACTTGCATCATGTATTCACTATAAAAATGGACAAGTTCATAATTAAAGTGACCTAGTTTTCTACATATTTTATAAATCATGTAAGAAAAATGTGAAAGAACTAAGCATATATATGACAATAAGGGCCAAGAGAAACTTAAATAGTATAGTCCAGAGAAGCAAGACTAAATTGAAACTTTACATTTCGTAAAAAGACAATATTTTCCATTCCTAGCAGTCTTCATTTAACAATGGATAGTGCAGAAAGATCAGTGATTACAGGTATTGTGAAGAAAGAAGTCCCACATCGGTGGGAACTTCAATTGGGGGGCTCTCCTCCTTCTTATAAAAAGAGCCCCTCCTTCCTTATTTCAACATCCCAAAAAATTTCTCCTTCTTTCTCTTTTACTTTCCGAGTATTGGTAATTTCCAATTGTAAAGGAAAGGGTAGTCATTATAAAATTTCAATTTTTGCCTATTGTCAGTGTTATTTTTCTAATCTCTATTTTAGTTGTGTGTATTTGTGTTGGTACTCTGATCCTAACAGTGGTATCAGAGCTGCCTTCGAGTCCCGTTGCGCTAGTCACTAGAATAGTGTTGGTAAAATTCTGAGTATGCTCTGTGGTTGTAGTTTAATCTGATCTTCCACATCAGAAAAAAGTTGTTATTGGAAAAGGTGTGGTAGTGTGAAAGTACTATTGAGGAAAGTTTTGGCTAGGAAAGACTTGGTACTTAAGCGTGTCCATTAGTGACCCACCTTTCTTTCCTGGGAACCTACTTGGTGTACTGGTTCACGGTCTACTACTATTGTTCCGATAGACAATACTATTTATAAGTGATAGTTGCATAAGTTTGTATACAACCATGACAACAAAGTACGAGATAGAGAAGTTCAACGAGAACAATTTCTCGTTGTGGAAATTGAAGATGAAGGCAATCTTGAGAAATGACAATTGCGCAGAAGCAATTGAGGGAAAACCTGCAGAAATGGCGGATAAAGATTGGAAGAAAATTGACAGCAACGCTATTGCAAATTTACACTTGGCAATGACAGACTCAGTTCTATCCAGTGTTGCGGAGAAAGATTCTGCAAAGGAGATTTGGGATGCCCTCATTAAATTATATGAGGTGAAGTCACTTCACACAAGGATATTCCTGAAGAGGAAACTCTATACTCTTCGGATGAGTGAGTCCACATCGGTGACAGACCACATCAACCAACTGAACACCTTGTTTGCCCAATTAGCAGCAGCAAATTTCAACATAATTGAGAATGAGCGTGCAGAACTTTTACTTCAGAGCTTGCCAGACTCGTATGATCAACTCATCATCAACATTACAAATAATAATATTGAAGGACAACTACACTTTGACGATGTTGCCGGAGCTATTCTAGAAGAAGAATCCAGGCGAATGAATAAGGTAGAAAGTTCTAAACAAGCAGAAGTTTTGACAATGATGAGAGGAAGATCAACGGAACATGGCTCAAGTGGGAGTCAAGATCATGGCAGATCGAGCTCTCGAAACAATAAGACTTTCAAATTTAAATGCTACTACTGTGACAAGAAAGGACACACGAAGAAAGAGTGTTGGAAGAGGAAGAATGAAGAATCAACCTCACAGGGTTGCGTTGCGAGTACTTCAGAGGAAGGAGTAATTCTGGTAAGCGAAGCAGCAATCAGCTCTAATGGCGGAAACAAATTTCATGACAAGTGGATAATGGATTCAGGTGCAACTTGGCACATGACCCCACACCGAGATTGGTTTCAAACCTACGAGCCTATCTCAGGTGGATCCGTGTTCATGGGAAATGACCATGCATTAGAGATTGCTGGAGTTGGTACTGTCAAATTAAAAATGTATGACGGTACTATTCGTACAATCCAAGAAGTACGACATGTGAAGGACTTGAAGAAAAATATATTGTCTATAGGGCAATTGGATGACCTCGGCTGCAAGATCCATGTTGAAGGAGGAATCTTAAAGGCAGTGAGGGGAAACATAGTTGTCATGAAAGCAGAGAAAATCATGGCAAACTTGTATGTGCTTATGGGAGACACCTTGCAAGAAAATCATGCAACAACTGCGTCAACAAGCCAAGAAGAAGCGGCGATAACGTGGCACCATAGACTTGGACATATGTCAGAGCGAGGTCTGCAGATTCTTGCGGAACGTGATCTCATACCTGGGCTCAAGAAGGTCGATTTACCCTTCTGTGAGCATTGTGTGACAAGCAAACAACACAGGTTGAAGTTTGCAAGAACCGCCACAAGGAGTAAGCAAACTTTGGACTTGATCCATTCTGATGTCTGGGAATCGCCGAAATTATCTCTCGGAGGAGCAAAATATTTTGTGTCGTTCATCGATGACTACTCGAGGAGATTATGGGTATACCCTATCAAGAAGAAGTCTGAAGTATTTGCGCGGTTCAAAGACTTCAAAGCACAAGTAGAACTTGAGACCGGAAGGAGAATCAAGTGTTTGAGGACATACAATGGAGGAGAATATGTAGATGGAGATTTTCTAGCATTCTGCAAGCAAGAAGGAATTGTGAGACAATTTTCTGTTCCACACACGCCTCAGCAGAATGGTGCAGAAGAGCGGATGAATAGAACTCTTCTAGAGAGAACCAGAGCTATGCTGCAAACTGCAGGCATAACAAAGTCTTTTTGGGCAGCAGCCGTGAATACTGCCTGTTACTTGATAAATCGGTCTCCATCAACAGCAATTGGGTTGAAAACTCCTATGGAAATGTGGAGTGGAAAATCAACCGATTATTCTTCCTTACATGTGTTCGGTTGTCCCGCATACGTGATGTACAACACCCAAGAAAGGACGAAGTTGGATCCAAAATCCAAGAAATGCATCTTCTTGGGATATGCTGACAATGTGAAGGGGTATCGCTTGTGGGATCCCACTACCCACAAAGTTATTGTTAGCAGAGATGTCGTCTTTGCAGAAAATGAACTGCAAAGCAAGCAGATAAATGACAGCTCAGAAAAGGACAAGACTATAGTACAGATAGAGAAGAAGACTTCAGAACATTCCTCTGAGTCAGAGGAGGAGCATGAAGAACATGAGCCAAATGAGGTGGAAGAAGGAGAACTCCGACGATCAACAAGAGAAAGAGTCAGACCATCTTAGCATTCACAATATGTGATGGCAAGTCATGATGCGTATTGTCTCCTAAGTGAAGAAGGAGAACCTTCAACTTTTCAAGAGGCCGTGAGTGGTTCGAAGCTCCTCTATGGATGGTCGCTATGGAAGAAGAAATTGAAGCTCTTTATAAAAACAAGACATGGCATCTTGTGGAACTTCCAAAAGGTTGCAGAGCCATTGGTTGCAAATGGGTCTATAAGATCAAGAGAGATGCCAATGATCAAGTGGAAAGATATCGTGCTAGACTGGTGGTAAAAGGATATGCTCAGAAAGAAGACATTGATTTCAACGAGATATTCTCACCAGTTGTTAGATTGACAACAATCAGAATTGTCCTGGCGATGTGTGCTGCATTTGATTTACATCTTGAGCAATTGGATGTAAAAACTGCTTTTCTTCATGGAGAACTTGAAGAGGAAATATATATGCTCCAACCGAAGGCTTCAAAGAGCAAGAAAACTTGGTTTGCAAGTTGAACAAATCTCTATACTGGCCTAAAGCAGGCGCCAAGGTGTTGGTATAAGAGATTTGATTCCTTCATTATTAGCCTCGGATACTACAGACTAAGTTCGGACCATTGTACTTACCACAATAGGTTTGAAGAAAATGATTTCATCATATTGTTGTTGTATGTGGATGACATGTTGGTGGTAGGCCCTAACAAAGCTCGAATCCAAGAATTGAAGGCACAATTGGCTAGGGAGTTTGATATGAAGGACTTGGGACCAGCAAACAAGATTTTAGGGATGCAAATTCACCGAGACAGAAAAGATAGGAAGATTTGGCTTTCTCAAAAGAATTATTTACTTAAGATCTTGCGGCGCTTCAACATGCAAGATTGCAAGCCAATTTCTACCCCACTTCCTGTCAACTGTAAGTTATCCTCAAGTATGAGTCCTAGCAGTGAAGCGGAGAGGATTGAAATGTCTCGAGTACCGTATGCATCAGCGAGTGGGAAGTCTTATGTATGCCATGATTTGTACAAGACCGTGACATTGCACAAGTAAGTGGGAGTGGTTAGTAGATTCATGGGAAATCCTGGTGGAGAGCATTGGCAAAATGTGAAGAGGATCCTTAGGTATATAAAAGGAACCTCAAATGTTGCATTATGTTATGGAGGATCGAAGCAGCTTGTTAGAGGCTATGTTGATTCGGATTTTGCAGGTGATCCGGATAAAAGGAAGTCTACTACTCGGTTATGTGTTTACCATCAATGGAGGGGCAGTAAGTTGGTTATCCAAGTTACAAGATGTGGTAGCTCGTCTACTACGGAAGCTGAATACATGGCTGTCACCCAAACATGTAAAGAAGCTATCCGGATTAAAAGAATAATGGGGGAACTTGGTCACAAGCAACAACAAATTGTTGTGTCTCGTGATAGTCAAAGTGCCTTACACATTGCAAGGAATTCAACCTTTCATTCGAGGACAAAACACATAGGAATAAGATATCATTTTGTTCGAGAAGTAGTAGAAGAAGGAAGTGTAGATTTACAGAAGATCCACACTGAGAAGAACCTAGCAGATGTAATGACAAAGCCGGTTAATGCTGACAAGTTTATACGGAGTCGATCCCGCTATGGCCTATCGAAAGCATAAGCAACATGGATGTGAGAGAAGAAGACATAGTGTGAAGATTTGATTAATTTCATCAAAATCTTCAAGTGGGAGATTGTGAAGAAAGAAGTCCCACATCGGTGGGAATTTCAATTGGGGGGCTCTCCTCCTTCTTATAAAAGGAGCCCCTCCTTCCTTATTTCAACATCCCAAAAAATTTCTCCTTCTTTCTCTTTTACTTTCCGAGTATTGGTAATTTCCAATTGTAAAGGAAAGGGTAATCATTATAAAATTTCAATTTTTGCCTATTGTCAGTGTTATTTTTCTAATCTCTATTTTAGTTGTGTGTATTTGTGCTGGTACTCGATCTTAACAGGTATATTACGGGATAACTAAATAGTTAGTTGAAAAGAAATCTTTATTTGCAAAGTTTTCACTTCTAAATCTCATATCACCAATTTTAGTCTCTCGTCTGTTTAAATATCACAACATATCACAGCATGCTGCAGGATTTAAGAATAAGGCTGGTCTGCAAGCACATAAAACATAAGGCAGTAAAATTGAAACAAATGAATGCATTTAGAGTGGTTGATTCTTTTCTCATTAAATCAAGTTGAACCCATTTCAAAAAAATAACAAGCCACATATATAAGTTGTTAGTCTCTCAATTTGTTCTGGAAAAATGAAGAAGGAACTCAGTTTATATACTCTTTGGTAAAATAAAATGAATATCTTCTTTCTTAAGTAAATTGGGTTAGGAATAGTTTACCTTTGATATATGAGAACCAAGACTTCTGTGCACACCACAGCATTTTAAGCAGACAAAAACTCCAATATTCGCTGATCTGAAGAAGCAATTGGAAAGAAATAAATTCACAATAGGAGGTAACACGAATTCCACATTTTTTTGTAGCAAAATTCATACAGCTAGTTTCCTATAACTTAATCACAAGGATCTTAATAAATTCTTTCAGAGACTCCAGTTTTGAGTATTATAATCAATGATCATCAGCATAAACCACTAAAAGAAAAAAGTGCAAAGGTGAATAGACTTACGCCCATTTAGGATCTGGAGCATTACAATCAGCACAAAAGCGATTATCCTTTTGAAGCAATAAATCCTTCACTCTTCTTTTACCTGTAAGAGACCTGCCAATCGTTCAACTTCTCAAGAAAAATAAGTGAAAATAACTGTACATTCACAATTAGACATGGAAATAAGCAACACCATATCCACCTTAAATAGATTAGGCTTGTTTTTCAAACATAAAACTTGAGTCCAATATATTATAAGAAATAAGCTTATTATTTTCTGCTTAGCGTAACCAAAAGCATTTTTGAAGGGTTATTTTGGTTTAAAGCTTTGAAAAAGTTTGAGCATTGTTTTTCAAGATATAATATTTTGAAATTGTTTTTGTAATGTTGTTATATTGTCACTATATAGGTCCTGGACATAACATGATACTTTAAAAGGCCTGAGGCTTACCCACTTTAATTAAACAGTTTTACTTTATTTGTTTTACTAGAAATTCTAAATAATCTTGACCTTTCTTGCTTAAAATCAAGCTCTCAATGAGTCTAAACAACTGACAACAAGACCAAATATTACCCAAAAGAGCATGGCAAGCGAATCTGGATATGTGCATTCTATCTAAGAAGGGTCAATAGTTATTATGGCTTCTATTGTCTGATGGATGTAGTTATGATAGCTTCTATTGTCTGATGAATGTAGAGAGACGGGGAATGTTGTGCTAGATTATGGAACTTGTGTCAACTATTATGATATATTAGCATTTATTATGGTTGATTCTGCAGAAACAGGGTGGTATACGTGGTAAAAGTAACTAAGTTTTACGGTAGAAATTTGGGTGCAACACTAATTTTGGGGATTTCTGTAAAGTTGGTTATAAAGTATTTAAAGCCTTATATAAATACTTAACAAGAAACCGGTGAGAGGATCAGTCATGAGATTTTTTACCATCAAAGCTATAGACTTTGTTGTAATTTACATGATTTAGGTTTAGTAATGAAAATTCTTGTTTGCCTATGTTAAAATAAAAAAAAAAACTCAATGATGATGAGTTCTTTTTTTTTTTTTTTTCTCAAAACGTAGTACCCCTTCCAGTTTTGCTTTTTTGTTCTGGATTATTTAAGTTAAAATCATATTTTATTACCAATGAAGTATTTATTATTATTACTTTTTGCAAATTAATTACTCTTATCCTTATCCATACAGAAGAAGGAGATTGAGTTGGTAGAAAAGAAATTAAATCACATATAAAGCATGAGTTTAAATTGACTTTAACAAGGATAAAACAGTTAAGTACGTGAAAAGATGAAATTAAGAATCATAGCATACCTGAGACACTCATTGCCACCTTTGAAGCCAACAATCGTTCAAACTGCAATTCCTATAATAGCAGTCAAGCTCAACAACCTGGAAAGAAAAAAAGAAAGATCTCGTTATAGACTAATAAAACAAAAGCCCCATGAAATCCTATTCTAACATGGCTTTTCTTCTACAATAATCTTTGGTTTCTCAGTCCTTTCCCCCAAAAATAATTTTAAATAAAAAAAGAGTATTTGAATAATTAACATGATCAATAGAATTACCCCTCAGAAATCTTCTAGAAAGATAGATCAAGCATAAAAAGTAAGAAATAGAAAAGAAGCAAAGTTTGGTATTACCTGTAGACATCGAAATTGTTTCTCACAGTATAATTAGATTTTTGAATGCATTTACGTGCATTATTCATTCACAATAAATGAATGATAACAATGGGGTAACCTCTTACCCCAATTTTATTTTACAAGTGATGAAACCGCCCAAAAAATCAACAAAAGGAAAAAACAAAAAAAAATGTTCATAAAAAAATTACTGAAACCACAACTACGACAAAAGTTCTCAGCAACCAAACCTTAAATTTGAGATATCCTCGTTTACAACAAGGAATTAATGCAAATGGTCGTCAAAGTGTGAGAAAATGTTGAAAGACTAATAACAATTTTTGCAGTAAACGAAATATGTTCTTGAGGTGACATGAGGGAAGGAGAAGAAAATGAAGAAAAGAGAGAGAAACTACAAATTGAGATGCAAAGATAGATTACAGAGAAAAAAAGGAAGAGAATAAAAATAGCTATGAATGAATGAATCGGATGAGGTGAGTTTGAAATCCACAAGAGAAAATGGGATACATATAAGGAAGGTGGTGAAATGTTTTTCTATCATCTCATCTCACAAATTTGTTAGCACCCACAAATGTTCAAACAACTTTTTTTTTTTTTTTCTTTTTTGTAGTTGATTAATTTTGTCAGTGTATGTTTAAAAAAGATTAATTTTGCTTAATAACAATCATTTTTAATTAATATACTTGGGGTATATTAGTTAGTTGGGAATGACGAATGATAAAACTAATAGAATAGTAAAACTTTCTTTCCAACATTTGATTGTGAATTCTACGAAGAGGAATTTTTTTATTTTTTTTAAAGTAAAATGTGAGGACTTTTCAAATATTGAAAAATTGTTGTTAAATTTTATTTATAATAATATATTTATATTTTATAAGATTATATAAAAAAGGATTTCTTCAATAAATAATATTATTTACGCAATATAAATCTTAGTTTATATGGATGAATAAGATGGAAAATGTCAATTTCTATTATTTTGAAAAAAAAAGTGAAGGAAAAAAGAGTATTGAAGATTAAGATTTTTATTGTAATACATTAATTAATAGTGCAATTTCTTTTATTATTTAATCACGAACCTTTATATAATTAAACAACCACTTTATAATAATTATTTGAAAAGTTATATCTAAATTAATAATTTTCAATATATTGATTTGATTGTACAAAATACTTTTATCAGTATATCAAAATTAACTTCTATCTATATACAATGAAATAAAAAATGTCCTGAAATAAGGTATTGTGTCAGCATTTTTTTGGTACCTATTTCCTTCACTCATTTTATCGTTGACAAATATTTTCTTAATCATTATTTTTGTTCATTATATAAATAAAAATTCATTTTTTTTCTTCACTTTATTTAGTTTTTTTTTCTTTTGGTCTTCACAATTTTTTTTTGAGCAAAACACAGAAAAAGATAGATATACTTATAATCCCTATAATTATATGAATGTATAATTTTGATCTCTAATAAAAACTAATTACACATTTTATTTTATGCTCCAGTTTTTTAAAACTATTTTTTTACTCACTACTTCCACGATATCTATATTTTTTAACATATTATTATAAAAACACGTTAATATTTGTCTGTTCATAGTTATATAATATATTATTGTTAAAGTTGTTTTATTTTAAAAAATTTGAAGACTAAATGCGTTATTAATTTTTTATAGGAACACAATTAAATATTAACGAATACATTAAAACTTAAAAAACATTAAAATGATTTTGTTCAAGGTCCTCCCTTGCACATGCTCCTAAAAACCATAACCAAAAGGGACAAAGATGTTTTTTCTTTTATAAGTAGAGTGAATTGAGTGTCACTTACTGTTCTCAAAGATTTAATTAAAACCTTCTTTTTCAATTAAAATGATATCAATATTTTCAATTAAAGCTTCTTTGGTCCTTTAATTGCCCTTTATGACTGGGTGCATGTCAACTAGGATACTCATTTCATTTGCTGCAGCTACAATGCTGATCTTCTTTACTTCATTTTCCCAGTTCTAAACTTTACTAAGCTCTCAAACCTGTTTCAAAGGTTTGATATTTGAAGGTGCTCGTTTCTTCCTAAGTTACATTGTGCCAAATGAATTGATTGTAGTAACATATTAAAGAATGGAACAACACACTGGATATAGTAGTAACAGTAATACATCACAGAGCAATGAAAAGACTACAATATAGACATGGCTTTGTGATAATTTGATAGATAGTACAATTTTTTAATCTTGCTGTGGCTTGTTTGTTTTGCAAAAAATCAATGTATGATTTTGACATAGAAGAATGCAAACGACTGCGTATCTCGCAAAACTAGACAAAAAGAGTGCGCGCTGGTGAAAACGAAACCTGTGCGAGCTGGTGAAAACGAAACCTGCGACGAACTGTTTGAAAAGTAAAAAAAAAAAAAAAAAAAAAGGTGAAAATGGTTGGTTGGGAAGTGGGAGACAAGTGGTAGGAGATAAGAAAAAAAATAGAAAACCTTAAATGCACAAGAATTATTCTTTTTGTTATAAAATGCTCTTTTATTTCACTAATTTCTATAATTCAATTCTAAAGTAACCATTACAAGAGTTAGCCACCAAGAAGCAGAAAGAAAATAATCTAGCTTCTGGGTGTAATTAGGTTGAGGATTGCGAGTGTTTTGAGAGTGCTTTGTAAACGCCTGTGTATTTTCTTTTCTCCCAGTAAAATATTTGCAGTAGTCCGAAGACGTAGGTAATTTTGGCCGAATTCCGTTATCAATTGGTGTGTCCAACTATTCCGTCTTTATTTCGTTTTTATTTCACTTTCACAGATCTAACTATATGGAAAAGTTCTATGTATTTTTCCTAACAACTGGTATCAGAGCTGGTTGTTAACTCTGTAATTTTTGTGGTGACACTATTCATATGAATAGTGAATTTACTATTCTGTGAATAGTAAAAATTTTGTCAGTGCTACAAAAATATCTACATACGTGTTCCAAAACACGATAGTTCACAAAAATTGTTAGAAACGATCCAGAAAAGTCAGATCCGAGTTGGAGTGATGGCTATAGATGAAGGAAAGGTGAAAATCGAGAAGTTCGATGGTGCGGACTTTGGGTTCTGGAAGATGCAGATCGAGGATTACCTGTATCAGAAGGATATGTATGAACCACTCACAGGAAAGAAACTAGAGGGTATAAAAGAGGAGGAATGAACTTTTCTCGACAGAAAGGCCCTTGGAGCCATTCGACTGACATTATCCCGTAATGTTGCTTTTAACATTGCAAAAGAAAAGACGACAACAGGTCTTATGAATACTCTTTCCAGTATGTACGAGAAACCATCAACCTCAAACAAAGTTCATTTGATGAGGCGGTTGTGTCAATCTACGGATGTCTGAAGGCGCTTCAATGGCGCAACATATCAATGAACTCAATACTATTACAACTCAGTTGAGTTCAGTTGGGATCGAGTTCGATGATGAAGTACGAGCTTTGATACTTTTGTCTTCTCTACTAGAAAGTTGGAATGCTACTGTCACAACTGTGAGTAACTCATCGGGAAGCAATAAGTTAAAATTTGATGATATTCGTAATTTGGTTCTCAGTGAAGAGATCCGGCGGAAGGAGTCGGGTGAATCATCAACCTCTTCAGTATTGCATACAGAGTCAAGAGGAAGAAGTTCAACCAAAGAAAGCGGACGCGAAAAATCAAAGGGAAAACGATCCAAGTCCAGAAATCATCGTAGTTCCCAAAACTTGAAGCAAATTGAGTGTTGGAATTGTGGAAAGACCGGACATTACAAAAATCAGTGCAAGAATGCACGAAAGAATCAAGAAGCGAAGGATGAGGCAAACGTTGCCTCTACCTCAGGGAAAGATGATGTGTTGATATGCTCTTTAGAAAGTAAGGAAGAGTCTTGGGTGTTAGACTCTGGAGCATTTTTCCATGCTACCTCATAAAAGCAACTGTTCGAGAATTATGTTCCCAGAAATCTTGGTAAAGTTTACCTTGGTAATGAGAAATCGTGTGAGATTGTAGGTAAATGTACAGTAAAGATTAAGTTGAACGGGTCTGTATGGGAATTGAAAAATGTCAGACATATTCCCGACCTGACGAAGAACTTAATCTCAGTGAGTCAGTTAGCCAGTAAAGGTTACACAATAATCTTCCACGGTGATGATTGGAATATCTCAAAGGGTGTGATGACAATTGCTCGAGGAAAAAAGAGTGGTACTCTTTACAAGACTGCAGGAGCATGTCATTTGATTGTAGTTGTAGCAAATGAAAATCCCAATCTATGACACCAAAGACTTGGGCATATGAGTGAGAAAGGGATGAAGATCATGCACTCAAAAGGAAAACTACCAAGTCTTCAGTCGGTAGAAATTGACATGAGTGAAGACTGCATACTTGGAAAGCAAAAGAGAGTTAGCTTTCAGACAAATAGAAGAATTCCAAAGAAAGAGAGACTTGAGCTTGTCCACTCTGATGTTTGGGGTCCAATGACTGTCCCATCCGTTGGCGGGAAGCAATACTTCATGACGTTTATCGATGAGTACTCCAGAAATGTATGAGTTTACTTTCTGAAACACAAGTCAAAAGTATTTGAAGCTTGCAAGATTTGGAAAGCTATGGTAGAAATTGAAACAGGATTGAAGATTAAGAAGCTCAGATCCGACAATGGTGGTGAATATGTAGACACCAGATTCAAGAAGTTTTGCTATGAGCACGAAATCAGAATGGAGAGGACTGTGCCTGGTACGCCTCAACACAATGGTGTAGCTGAGCGTATGAATCGAACGTTGACTGAAAGAGCCAGAAGCTTGCGTGTATAGTCAGGCTTACCAAAGCAGTTCTGGGCAGAAGCAGTCAACACAACAACTTACTTGATCAACCGAAGTCTATCGGTACCATTGGAGCACGGAATACCAGAAGAGGTATGGAGCGGAAAAGAGGTAAAACTCTCACATCTTAGAGTTTTCGGCTGTGTAACATATGTCCATATCAGTGATCAAGGTAGAAACAAACTTGACCCAAAATCAAAGAAGTGCACTTTCATTGGTTATGGTGAAGATGAGTATGGCTACCGCATATGGGATGATGAAAACAAAAAGATGATCCGCAGTAGAGATGTAATCTTCAATGAAAGAGTGTTGTACAAGGACATGCATAAAACAGGTATTAGCAATTCAGAATTGAGTGAGCCAGTTTTTGCAGAAGTGGAAGATGTCCTAGAAAATCCTATAGTGAGGAGTCCTCAGTTAGAGGAATCAATTGAAGAAGGTGATGTGCAACCAGAACCTCTTACTCTAACTCCTGTATTGAGAAGGTCCTTTAGACCTCATGTGCCAAACAGGAGATACATGGACTACATGTTGCTGACTGATGGAGGGGAGCCCGAAGATTATATAGAAGCTTGTCAAACCATAGATGCTAGCAAGTGGGAGCTTGCCATGAAAGAAGAGATGAAGTCTCTGATCTCCAATCAGACATGGGAACTAGTCAAGTTACCCATGTGGAAGAAAGCACTTCACAACAAATGGGTGTATCGGGTGAAGGAAGACCATGACGGTTCCAAGAGATACAAAGCCCGACTAGTTGTCAAAGGATTTCAGCAGAAAGAAGGAGTTGACTACACTGAAATCTTTGCTCCAGTCGTAAAGCTCAATACTATCAGAACAATGTTAAGTATTGTGGCTAGTGAAGAGCTCTACCTAGAGCAATTAGATGTGAAGACTACATTTCTCCACGAAGACTTAGATGAGGAGATCTACATGCACCAACCTGAAGGATTTTCAGAAGGAAAGAAGGATATGGTGTGCAAATTGAAGAAGAACTTGTACGGTCTAAAACAAGCTCCAAGACAGTGGTACATGAAGTTTGAAAGCTTCATGCACAAGGAAGGTTTCCAGAAGTGCAATGCCGATCATTGTTGTTTGTTCAAGAGGTATAAGTCCAGCTATATCATATTGCTACTTTATGTTGATGACATGTTAGTAGCAGGTTCAAATATGAGGGATATCAGAAATTTAAAGATGCAGTTGTTAAAGGAATTTGACATGAAGGACTTAGGACCAACAAAGAAGATTCTTGGAATGCAAATCACGAGAGATAAGCAAAATGGAGTTTTGCAGTTATCTCAAGAGGAGTACATCAACCGTGTTTTGCAAAGATTTAACATGGACAAGGCCAAACCAGTCAGTACACCTTTGGCCAGTCATTTTCTTCTATCCAAGGATCAGTCTCCTCAATCAAAGGAAAAAGAAGAAATTATGGCTAAGGTTCCGTATGCTTTAGCCATTGGAAGTTTGATGTACGCAATGGTCTGTACAAGGCCAGACATTGGCCATGCAGTGGGAGTTGTGAGCAGGTTTATGGCAAATCCAGGAAAGGCTCACTGGGAAGCCGTCAAGTGGATTCTGAGATATCTACGAGGAACAACAGAAAAATGTCTGTGTTTTAGAAAAGGAAATCTAAGATTACAAGGCTACGTAGATGCAGACTTTGGAGGTGAAGTTGATCACCGAAGAAACACCACCAATTATGTTTTCACAGTTGGTACTACAACTATTAGTTGGATGTCGCGGATACAAAAATTTGTTGTTTTATCCACTACAGAGGCTGAGTATGTAGCAGTGATAAAAGCCAGTAAAGAATTGATATGACTTTAAGGACTGTTAGCAGAGCTGAGATTCACTCAAGAGGGGAGTGTTTTGCATAGTGATAGTCAGAGTGCAATACATCTGACAAAGAATTCAGCATTTCACTCAAGAACCAAGCACATTGATATTCGTTATCATTTCATCAGATCTCTACTTGAGGATGAGGTGTTAACATTGAAGAAGATTGTAGGAAGCAAGAACCCAACAGATATGCTAACGAAGGTGGTGACCATTGACAAACTAAAGTTGTGCTCAACTTCAGTTGGCTTGCAAGAGTAGCAGACCAGAGAAGACTACTGCATTAATCAAGGTGTGAGGACAAATTGAAATCAGTCCTCAAGTGGTAGATTGTTGGTGTTTGAAAAGTAAAAAAAAAAAGTGGCAAGTGGTTGGTTGGCAAGTGGTTGGCTGATAAGTGGTTGGAGACAAGAAAAAAATGGAAAGCCTTAAATGCACAAGAACCATTCCTTTTGCTATAAAATGCTCTTTCACTTCACTCATTTCTATCATCCAATTCCAAAGCAACCATTATAAGAGTTAGCCAGCAAGAAGCAGAAAGAAAATAATCTAGCTTCTGGGTGTAATTGGGTTGAGGGTTGCGAGTGTTTTGAGAGTGCTTTGTAAACACCTATGTATTTTCTTTTCTCCTAGTAAAATATCTGTAGTAGTCCGGAGACGTAGGCAATTTTGGCTGAACTCTGTTATCAATTGGTGTGTCCAATTATTCCGTCTTTATTTCGTTTTTATTTCACTTTCACAGATCTAACTACATGGAAAAGTTTTGTGTATTTTTTCTAACACGAACACGATTCAGGTCACCCGTGTTCACGAATCACGTTTCTAGAGAAGCAAGCCCCACACGATGTCGTTTCCAGAGGGGCATTGAATAATAACATCGTCCCGTTTATGAGAAACTGGTGAAGGGTGGAGAATTGTTGTTGGTATCATAACTCGAACTTCTTAATATTATTGCAAATGCTTGTAAAGACACCAATAAAACTTAATTCTTAAAACATGTATAATAATTGTTTTTAAAAACTTATACGCTTGTTATGCAACAACTTCTTCGGATATAACAATCACTTCTTAGATTGTTTGGGGATCTCACTAACTTAAGAAGAAATACTTAAAAAAATAAATAAACCTAGATAAAATAAAATAAAAAGAGAAAAAAAAGATGAATTAACGTGTTTCCCTTGAAAGAATATAAAGTGGTACATTTTCAGGTGTAATATTAATACGTTTTAAGTTAGTGGAATATGTTATATGTTTTGCAATATTCCTATTTTACTATAGTAACTGCAACTATTAAATGTTTACTAACTTCTAATTGTCTTATCGCTTGCTTTCATTTGTCCCCCTTCATTTTTTGAACAATTTAAATTTCCATGCAGATCGACCAGGACCAGAAGGTCCACCACTTACTCGGTCACAGAGGTTAAAAATAGCAGTTGGGTAAGGTTGTGTGTAGCATAAGTGGATGCTTAGCATGTTTTGATGCTGCATTGGTGCAAGAAATGGATGATCAATTGTTGAAAAGGGAGTGAATGAGGTCCTTGGAATAGCCATTCGATGCGTAAGACCGGTATCTGAGAGGCCATGTATCAAGACTCTATAAGAAGATCTTTCGTCTATATAGCCTGCTCATGCATTTTGAACATTTTACATGTCATTGGAAGGAAGTAATGCTTCATTACTTCATTCGAATGAATGCTCTAATATGTGGGGTTTTGCAATTTCATATGTAGTATTGGTTGATTGACCAAAAACAGCGATCGGTTTTTTGAATTTTGTAGATACCTATACACACAAGTATACTATATTTGAAATAATAATTCTAGTCCCGTTATGAAATATTTATAGTCCCGTTATAATAATGCACGTATATGTAAAAAATTACATAACACGAGATTTGAATGATAAATTCTTAATTTAAAGTAACATAAACTATTGCGTGAGATTTGTAAAATTAAATTGAGTGAGATTTGGAAGATACATAACCTATTGTGTGAGATTTGTAAAATTAAATTGTAAAACTGAGTGATGTTCTAGTGACCCTCTTTTATCCTCTTTCATAAATTTTGATACTTTTCTCTTTTATACTTTTAACGAACATTATACATAAAGTAGAGAGAATAAAAATAAAAATAAAATTTATGGAATAACTTAGCTCCGCCCCTGATTATATAGCCATCACAATTTCTCTTCACCTAAATATTCTACAGTCTCTGTTCTCTTCCAAAATTGTTACGAGTTACGGCCCTCCCAGCTTCATCATCATCGTCATCATCTTCCAAACAAACATGTCTGTTGCTTGAACTTTACTGTGCCAATTCTGTCAAACTGTGCTTGTTTGTTGGTCATAACTTTAATGTGTTTTTCATTTGGATCTTTCTACTTTTTCTCATAGAATGTCCTTCTTGTTCTTTTTATAGCTCATTTTTGTTGATCAGATTACTAACGACAATCAGTGCAAATCGTGAATTTTCTTTCTCCTTTGTTATCTTTATCAAGGATATGCAGTGCAGAGCAAAATAATAGTCACTCTCATTCACAGATTTTTTTGTTCCTCGATTTTTAAGACGTATGGTGCCCCCGTGTGTAATAAGTTAGACTATTTTGCATGAACAATGTCCTACCAATAATCTCCACACGAACATTTTCCATTCTTAAAGTGATGAAAGCGACTAGAATCACGTACTACAATCTCACGGTCAACAATGTTTGCAATAAGCTTTATTGCACTATGACAATCGCCACATACACGTAGATTTTTCATAACTGTTATTGTACTGCCTTTCACAGTACTAAGCAATCCAAATGCAATTGCAAGCCTTTCACTATGGTAAGACAGCATTTCTTCTTTTTGCTCAGTTTCCACATCATGCAAAGCGTATTGTTGGTCTGGAACATAACCTAATTCTTTTAACTTCACTCCTATCCACTCTAGCTTTTGATAAATTTTCTCATTAAGAGGATGTGACCTGTCTGCTGAGAGAAAATTGTGCTTTTGTCCTTTTAAGGTTAGCCAACTCGATCCTGGTTGTTTCACAACTCCATTATGCTTCATTTTTTTACGAATTGAAGCTACTTCAGCCCATCTGCTCGAAGATGCATACAAGTTTGACAGCAATACATATGCAGCACTACAATCAGGTTCCATTTCAAATATCTGATTTGCAGCTCTTTCGGCTACATCTAAATTTGAGTGCTTCCTGCATGCACTCAGTAAAGCAAGCCATACCATTGAATTTGCTTTCATGGGCATGCTCATCACCAGTGCTTCTGCTTCCTCGAGCTCTCCACACCGGCCAAGCACATCCACCATGCTTGCATAGTGCTCAATTGTAAGCGTAACCAATCTTTCCTGGCCAAAGTATCTGAAGAAGCACCTTGCTTTTTGTAGCATCCCGGAGCGACTACAAGCAGAAAGCAAACCAGTTAATGTGATTCCATCTGGATCAACTCTTTCACGCAGCATTTGATTGAAGAGTGCTAAAGCCCACATGCCATATCCATGCTGTGCACAACCAACAATGACCGTGTTCCACGAGACAACACTCTTCTCATTAATCCCCTTAAACACGGAAACTGCATCACTCACATAACCACATTTACTATACATAACAACAAGAGAACCTCCCACATACCCACCACTTTCTAAACCCATCTTAACCACCTTAGCATGGATCACTTTCCCCCTCTCAAGATCCTCCAATCCACAACAAGAATTCAAAGCACTGGTGAAGGAAGACTCATTTGGAATCACGCCAACTCTCATCATTTTTTTAAACACCTCCAACGCCTCTAGATGCTTATCATTGAAACCATACCCCGTCAATAGAGCTGTCCATGCCACCACATTCTTACAAACGGCCTCACCAAAAACCAAGCACGCAGCTTCCATCTGTTTGCAACTACTATAAAACGTAACCAGTGAAGCAGATATAAATTCATCAAAACGCCAGTCACCCAGCTTGATCGCAGAACAATGAATTTGAATCCCCACTCGCAAAGCCGGTATCTTAGCAGCAGCAGACAACCCACAAACCAAGCCAACAGAAGATGGCCACACACCAGAAGCCACCATGTCGCGAAAAACAACCAATGCTTGTCCACTGTCCCCATTGTGATCAAGTCCAGCAATCATACAACTCCAAGAAATTACATCCTTAGAAGGCATTAGGTGGAACAAGCGTAAAGCATCATCAATTCTACCATTACCACAATACCCATGAATCATTGCATTCCACGCAGCCACGTCCCTGTCCACAGGGTCCATTGCCCAGAACAAGGCTTCAGCCTCCTCAACAACTCCCAAGCGCAGTAACCCATCGACGAGGGTGGTCCACGACACGACAGTTCGGTGGGGCATTTCATTGAACAGCTTCCTGGCGGTGATAATATCTCCGCAATGGAGACACCCCTTGATCATGGTGTTCCAGGAAACGACGTCCTTGAAGGGAATTTGACGAAAGAGGTCGATGGCTTCGCAAAGTCTGTGGTTGTCGGCGTAAGCATGAAGCATTATGGTGTAGAGGGAAACATGCGGGGAAGGAATTTGATCGAAAAAGGCGCGAGCTTGGTTCAAAGTTTGATTGTTGAGGTAGTGGAAAAGTATATGCTTATGTGATTTGATGATGTTGAAAGAATTTGTGGAGATAGATGAAGTAGAAGCAGAACCATTGGTGGCTATGGTGAATGAAAAGAGTCGTGAGTTTTGAACAGCGATGCATAAAAACGGTGTCGTATAAAAATTGGACTTGGACACAGAACTGAAAATAAGCATTGGAAGCAGGAATGGTGTGTTGGGAACGAAGAATGCGCCAAAGTCAGAGTTTCAGATTTCAGTGCAGCAAAAAAAGAAGAAGATAATTTATTTATTATTTTAATATTATTTTTTTAATTATATATTGTTATAATAAAATATTCACTCTATATTCCACGCATGTTTCGTTCTCCAAACTTTCTTTCGAATAAAATATTCACTCTATATTCACTCTCTATTTTTTATGATGTCAGTTTATCAGAGGTGCAAAATCAGAATGGATGTTATGAGAAAGCCTTTGCGGAACATGAAGAAAGATTCAGAGAACATAAGCCGAGGATGGAAGAAGTTCAGAGATGGAGAGAAGCTATCACACGACTGGCCGATCTCCCTGGTTAGTATAGTGGAACTGCGGTATTCAGCTCTTGTATGGTCATTGACTTTAATTTATTTTGTATATATTTCATCATTTCTTAGTCAGTCATGTTTATAATTGTTCGATGCAAATAGTATTTAAAAACTCAAAGTACTCTTTAGTATGTACAAGTACATTCTGGTTTGCTTCGTGTTAATTCGGCATTCTTCTTTTTCTTTATATTTTCAGGCCTTCATATGGAAAATTTGAAGACATTGTTAAACTTATAGCATATACTTTGGGTCCTGAATTTTCAACTCTTCAAGATGAAACAATATACAGTGGTTATAGAAGATTTGAAGATATTCTTGTATATAACAAAGATAAAGTTTCTGACAAGGAGCTGTCAGCTTTGATGAGGGTAAGGGATTTTATCAGCCTCTTGTTGACTTATCCAGTGAAATTTGAAGATGATGGTATATTAAGATCCTGGATTAGTGCCTTTCCTGAATGGAAAACTCGGTTATTGTCTACTGATGGTTATGCTGTGATGTACAAACCATGGAGACTACTAACTGAGAAGGCACTGGGATGTATGAAAGGATTTATGCCAGTGGAAATATTGTCTAGAATAGGAAGTGGTGAGAGATCCATCTTCAACCACCACAATGATGTAATACCGGAAACTGTTCTCCACCTAACTGTTGATCTCGCAGTTAACCAATTAATTCAAACTTTGTTTTCTGGAGATTACTATGCCCGCTATATCAGACTGTTAACCAGAAACTTGGCTGAAAAAAGATTTGTAGTGAACAAAATAGTTGCAGCCTTGGAAGATAAACGCAACATGTTTGGAATTGACAAAGATTTTGTTAGGGCCGTATGGATCAATGCCTCAACATGTGAGACTGATGCAGAGGTTCGAGTTCAAGAAGAAATCAGTATGATGGAAGAAAGTTTTTCTATGACAGAAGGTGATGACATGTTGAGTACACTACACATTGACGAAAAGATGGGAAGCAATAGGCAGTTAGTGATTGTAGTGGATGCAGATAGCAACAAGAAGCTGGATCTCAAAAAAGTGCATTTCCCGACTGGGATTGTGGTGTTGATAACAACTGAGTCTTCAACACAAGCAGTGAAGGATGATGACTACAGAATTACATGCACAATTGATTTGAATATTTGGACCCAGGATCATCTATTGCCTTGGAAACTCTTTTGTACCTATGCGGGAGCTTGTATCAGCAGTAGCACAGTGCGTTCATCAATGGCCATTCAGAAAATTGCGGTAGAAATAGTCAAGAAATGCCGTGGTCATCTTCTTGCCATTGCCCTTGTGGCAAAGCATCTTAGGTATGTGAAAGATGTTAAATACTGGGAACTTGCACTTGACAAATTAAGCAGTCCGAATCCTTTCTATGATTATCGAGATTGTGACATAATTGGCATTAGTAGAGTCATGGTCAATGCATTTGTAAATATTATTTGGGAAGACATTGATGATGAACAAAAGTTTTGCCTTGAACTCAGTTTGCCTGTTCACAACATTAAAAATGGGGTAAGAGATGAGATCTTGGTTTCTGATTGGGCTATAATATTACAACACATACAAGAACTTGGTGAATACAGAAGGCAATTACAATATTACATGGAGGAGCTTCTAGACTGTATTGTCTTGTTGAAATTTGAAAGTCATGTTTATTTGCCAATTGAAACCTATTATATAATAAAATCATTGCACATCTCACAACCTTCCATCATAAGACATGGTGCATTAGGATTGACGAAGCCCTCTTACATTGGACAATGGCGTTTTCTTATTCACATAGAATTGATGGACAATAAAATATGTGAATTACCACCAGCACCCTATTGCCCTAGTCTCAAGGTGCTTCTATTGCAGGGCAATGCTGATTTATTAGAAATTCCTGATTCATTTTTCGACCACATGCCTATACTTCAACACTTGGACTTATCCTACACTAGTATAAGGGATTTGCCCCTTTCTGTCTCCAAATTGATACAACTTAAGAAATTTTTTATTAAAGGTTGTGACCTCTTCATGGAACTATCTCCGCAAATTTTACAGTTAAAGAATCTTGAAGAGCTTGATCTTAACGGCACTCTGATAACCCATTTGCCAAAAAACTTTGGAGAATTGATCAACCTGAAATGCTTAACCGTATGCTTTGATGGATACTATCATGTACTTGGTCGTGGCAAAAAAGATAAGCAAATTTGCAACTCAACCATAATTCCTCGAGGAGTGATATCAAATCTTACTCAGTTGAATTATCTAAGCCTCGAGGTCGACCCTGAAGATGAGCAATGGAGTGAGAATGTTCATAGTGTTTTGATGGAAATTTTTGGATTAGAGAGGTTGAAGACGGTAAGCATATATGTCCCAAAGGCTGAACTCTTGGAATTCATACCAGCCCAGAAATCTCTCAATTTCCGATTGGTTGTTGGTCATCACATGCGACGACTGATATCACGTGTAACACCTGAACTAGAGACAAAATTCAAACAGTGTGATTATAGCATGAAGTTTGTTAATGGTGTAAATGTTCCTAATGGAGTGAAAATGAATCTTGGACGCTTCAAGGCATTGTACCTAGACCGACATATGACCATCAAGAGTCTATCTGATTTCAATTTGAGGAATTTAGGGGGGTTAGAATTTTGCATATTGGCGGAATGTAATGAAATGGAAACCATTGTCAACCAAAGTGATTCAGCTTGTAGGTATCCTTTTCTAATGTTGAAATTCTTGAGTGTATTTTATATGAAGAATTTAAGAAGCATTTACGAAGGGAGTATTCCTTTTATCTACTTAAAGTCTATAACATTACATACGTGTCCCATATTAACTACCATCTTCACCGGAGATATTATAAATGGCCTCTCCTTGTTGGAGGAAATTACTGTTGAAGACTGTCCAAAAGTAACCACCCTGATAAGTCTTGCCACATCACAACAAAACCCATTGTTTTCCTTCCTTCCCAAGTTGAGAATGATATCACTTCTCTATCTTCATGAATTGGTCAATGTTTTTAATGGCATGAATGTTGGACATGTTTTAGAAGAAATGATATTTTATTATTGCCCAAAACTCCGAAGTCTTTCCAAATTGGAGTTGTCAAGCAAATATTTGAAGTTTATCAAAGGAGAAAGCATGTGGTGGGAAACATTGAAATGGAATGTATCAGAGTGGGGTGATGCTGGTCGACCCAAAATTTTTGAGCAATTGTTTAAACCAATTAACCAGGTCTGGCTTGATGAACCCATTAGCTGCACATCAAGACACTCAACTAAATGAATATCAAAGTAGATTGTATGAGGTAATTAATTATCTTCTTTCTCAAGTTGCAAGATGTTGTTGATATGTTGGTATCTTCCAACGACTAAGGGAGTGGATTCGGGATATGTCACTTGGTTTAAATACTCAAACAAACTCAAAATGAGGATATCTTTCTCATTTCCATAGAAAGAACTTAAAAAGTTATTGATATATATCTATTTATTATACTAAAGTAATTGTTTAGTAATGATGAAAAATACTTAGGATCATGAGATTAAATTGGTTTTGATATTATTTAGTTATTATTTGTTGATATATACTTATTAAGGGCTAGTTTGTTACATATTAAGTAATTCTAATAAAAAAGAAATAGACCTGTACCATACAGTGGAAGTGCATTAAAGACAACCAACCATATTGTCAAATGCTTGAAAATCTTGCTTCATGGAGTTAACAAAGATAATGAAGTAAGAGGCATACCCTTGGCACTAAGTCTTTCCATAGAATCAGGCAAGCCTTTGTTGAAAATGAAAGAAGAAAGTTGAAGGAAAAATGTAGAATGCCCCAATTATGAAGGAAATCCACCAGCTTGGCCTAGCTTATCTCACATTAGGGAAAGTCCAACAAGAACCAATGACGACAAGAACATGATCACTGCCAAGAAGCTTACCCAAGGAGGTTTGGATAATCTCATGTGGCATTAATATCCAATAAAACTGAGGAAGAAGATTGTATGAATTTTCTTCTAGGCTTTGAATGTGGATTACAATAATCCTCTAGAGCTTTGTTTGCTAAATTTAGTTTGGCTATAAAACAATTTGGGCATACACAATGACCGTCAAATCACACTTTCTTTGCCAAAGAAGATTAATGCTTTGTTTGCTATTAAATGATGATTATCGGGTTGCAAATTTGAGGCTGAAGTTGCCTCATCTCTTTTTTTTGGTCAAAACAAAATTAACTTCACAATAATTGTTTTTGGGTACTTACTGAATTGTAGCATTTTTTTTAATTTTGTGATCATACTTAATTATGTTGAGATATTAAATAAACAAGTTTGTTCATATATATATACATTACTTGATTTATCATACCCTCTTAACTTCATCTTCTGTATTTTATTACTTGAATATTTTCCTTTCAGGGAATTTCAAGTTCTACACCAACCAAGTTACATTTGAAGACACCTCTTTTGTCATCTTTAACCCCAGTTTTATCATTGGGTAGTTCAAAAGGTGAAGCCCAAAAGCGGAAAGCCGATATTGAAATAGTTCAAGCGGTCTCAAAAAGGACATTAAAACAGGTTTGGATGCCTTTCTCGTTATTTGTGATTGATTGATTTTTGCTTTCTTGTATGCATGAGTTGGGTTTACTCGCATTGAAGGCATGTTTGATAGATGTGTAAAATTATTTGTTGGATGTATTTTGCTTCAAAAGATTCCAATTTTAAAAGTTGAAACACGCATTTAAGGAAACATAAATCATTTAGATACTAAGCACGCAGCACCAAAGGAAATTACTATCATTCATTTATTCAGATAGGGAAATAGTTGTTGCTTTATTCATTCACTATAGCCAATGGGCTAAATGAGTTCAACATATGTTCAGTTTTTGTATGACGTAGTTGTTAATAGCAACAAATAATGGTGCTATAGAGGAATTGCATTGTGGAGTGGCTAGAGCATTTTATGAATATTGGAAAATGTAGCAGTTTGAATTAGCGACTGTCACAGTCTCCATATTGAGCAAAATAGCAGAAATTGCTTCTGTGGAGCAGCCGCCATTCGAGTGGGTCACAAAATTTAACCATTAAATGTTTTAGTAGGCAATCATTTTACCCACTTCTTTGAATCACCACTGAAACTCATCTTCTCAATCACTTGCACACGCTATCATATGACTAACGACGTATTGTTATGTTCTCCGACCAATACAAACTTCTGGCAACATTTTTAGCATTTCCCAGCCTTCTGTTTCTTTTATTCCATTCCCACTTCTGCAGCCTCTGAGCTCCATAGTTTCCTGTCATTCTTGACCTGGCTATTTCTGTATCTGTTTCTGGCCAGCCATGACCCTTGTTGCCTCTCTGCTCACTGTTCTGTCCCTGCATTGTTCATTTTTTAAATATCTAATACAGATCTTTCGTCTCTCCGTTTTGTGCTCTCATCTATGTCTTTCCCTTTATTTATTTTTTTGTAATTGGTTATAAGCAGCCATCACGTAAGAACCTTGCCATGTTTCGTTCATTGATTCTCCTTATAATAATTTTATTTCTATGTAATACTTATCAAAACTTTTGCCACCTCGTGTGAAGTTTTGTAGCTTGGAAGTGACATCTCTATTCGAAGAAGGATATAAGAATTCTCTCTTCAATTCCTTTCTTTCTTACGGAATTTGTTGTAAATTAAGGGGTATTGCAAAACAGAGAACGTGTTCTCACACGTTGCAGAAGACTGTTTCAGAGAACGTGTTCTCTCACACGTTGTAGAAGACTGTTTCAGATAACGTTGCAGAAGACTGTTTCAGAGAATGTTGCAGAAGACTGTTTCAGATAACGTTGCAGAAGACCGTTTCAGAGAATGTTGCAGAAGACTGTTTCAAAGAACGTTGCAGAAGACCGTTTCAGAGAACGTTTTCTCACACACGTTACAGAAGACTGTTTCAGAGAACGTTACGGACCCACTACCAAGTCTTCCATAACTGTTACAGACTTTTTCTTATAAATAGATACCACTTCACACTCTTCAGAATACACTCTCTTTTGAGAGTGTTTTTGCTAGTTTCTGAGATCCTCGGATATTCCGAGAAGTTCCTGTTGTATCCTGGGGGACTTGCGCAATACACCGCAGATAAGTCCTTAAGGGCAGTGTTTATACACGCCTCAGGAATAAAATTTGTTCGTATCTATGTCAGTTTTTACAACAATCTTAAGGACTTATTACTGATAATACGAACATCAACAACTTCCTTCAACAGTTTTAGAATATTGGATAGTGAGAGAAAGGGAATTATGAAGTGTTCATGGATCAAGGTTAGTTTTCCGATTATGATTTATGTGTATTATTATGTGAGAATCAATTCATGTATGTTATTATATGATTATGATTTATGTATGCTATTACGTGAGAATAACGAATCTAAACGTGAAGAGTAGTTTTATAAAATTAGTAACGTATGAAAACTACAAATTAAAATACATGTGGTATCAGAGCCATATTTATTAGATTTATGATTTTTCTCTTATGATAATTTTTAAATTATGTTTTTCCAAAAATTGAATAAAGGAATAAATGATAATCTATGTTTTAAGCTGCAATCAATTTCAAATTGAAATTAATTTCATAGACCCTGTGTGAATGACACTGTAATTCTTATTGAAATGTGAATGCACTACTACAGAAAACACTTTCTACGACAGCATACAACGTCGGCTATCACGAACACCGACGTTGTACAAGACGCTGATGGCAAACTTGTAATTATGAGGCAAAATTTAACGTCGGTTACATAATAACCGACGTAGTAACTGCAATTCAACGTCGGTTATATTATAGCAGAGCGTTGATTTGGAAATTCAACGTCGGTTATATTATAACCGAGCGTTAAATGTTTAAATTTAACGTCGGTTATGTATAGCAGACGTTAAATGTTTAAATTTAACGCTCGGTTATGTATAGCAGACGTTGAATTCCCAAAATCAACGTCGGTTATATGATTTACCCGACGTCGAAAGCGTTATCCACGTCGGGTTTTTAATAGCAGAGCGTTGAATGTCCTTTATACCTCTCGCCTTTCGCGCTCCCCTTCGTCCGCCTCTTCTTCGTCCCATATACTCCCTCCTTACGCTTCTTCTTCTCGTGCCTCGGTCCTCACTGCTGCCCCCTCGCCGCCCCTTCGCCGCCCGGTTCGCAGGCCTCTCGCTCTGCCTCCTCGCGCATTGCTACCTCATTCGGCTGTGGTCTGCTGCCCACTCGCCGCCCACTTCGCGCGCTCTGCCTCGCTCTGCTTGCTACCTCCTTCGCAGCCCACTCGCGCGCTCTCATCGAGGTTAGATTAAGTTGCATGGATGATTTACAACATGCATTTAACATAAATATGAATTATTTAGAGCATTTCCTGCGTATGAACATTAGAATGATGATGGATGATTTTGTATATATGGTTTGATTTGATCTAGGTTCGTTTAGGTTTCGAAGTGGTATATGGAACATTAGGTTTCGTTTAGGTTTAGGTTTAGGTTTAGGTTTAGCTTTAGCTTTCGAAGTGGTATATGGAACATTAGAGCATGTATGGAACATTAGAGCATTGTTAGGCAATGTACACGTTTTTTTTGTATTGTTTTGTTAAACCTTTTCTAATAAACCTTGAATATCTAGGCAAGCCTTCTTATGTAGTTAGATGGATCGAACTTGGGTCAATGCAAGTCGTATGTCAGAAGAGTATGAGAATGGAGTTGACTCCTTTTGAAATTTGCAGAACAAAATGCTCCCAAAATGAATGGAAAAATCTACCGCCCATGCGTTAATTGTGTAAATGGCGGAGTACAAGAGATGGACACAACGCGGGAGCATCTTATTTGCGATGGGATGATGAAGAATTACACAATATGGACATGGCACGGTGAAGTGGTTCATATTCCAACGAGTATCACAAACTATTGAGGATGATGTAACCTGCGAAGATCGAATAGAGGACATGCTTTGTGATGTGGGTCAAGAGAGGTTTCTTGAAGCACATGCATCTATATATGATACATTGAGGACCGATTCGGAGACACCTTTGTATCCCGGATGTACAACTTTCATACGGTTGTCATCCGTGTTAAGATTGGTCAATCTAAAAGCCAAATTTGGTTGGAGTGATACAAGTTTTAATGAATTACTCCAACTTTTGAAGGAGATGCTCCCGAGACAATAACACCTTGCCGGACCGTATGTATGAAGCGAAGAAGATACTATGTCCGATGGGTTTAGAATATAGGAAGATACATGCTTGCCCTAATGATTGTGTGTTATATAGGAAAGAATTCTCATCTTTAGACCAATGTCCAACATGTGGTGTATCACGTTACAAAGCGAATGATGGTGATGATTGTAGTCGGGAGAGTGGTAAAAAACGTCCTCCTGCAAAAGTTTTATGGTATCTTCCAATTATTCCAAGATTTAGGCGGTTGTACGCTCACGAAGATGCTTGAAAATTTAATTTGGCATTCAAAGAGAAAAACATGTGATGGGCAAATGCGGCATCCATCGACTCTCCCCAATGGAAGAATTTTGACCGTCTATTTCCAAGTTTTGGTAGTGATGCAAGAAACCTTAGACTTGGATTAGCAACAGATGGGATGAATCCTTTTGGAAATTTAAGTAGTAACCATAGTTCATGGCCCGTTTTATTGATGATTTACAATCTTCCACCATGGTTATGCATGAAGCGCAAATATGTCATGTTGTGTATGATGATTTCGAGTCCAAGACAGCCAGGAAATGACATATATGTGTATTTGAGTCCTTTGATAGAAGACTTAACACTATTATGGGAGGAAGGAGTAGATGCATTTGATGGGTATCGGCGGCGAAGTTCAAGTTGCATGCAATGTTATTTTGCACCATTAATGACTTCTCTGCCTATGGAAACTTGAGTGGGTATAGTGTGAAGGGGCATTATGCTTGTCCTATTTGTGAAGAAGAGACCAGTTATATACAATTGAAACATGGAAAGAAGACAGGTTTATAACAGACACGAGAAAATTTCTCCCGCATGACCATCCATACCAGTAGATCGAAGAAAGCTTTTAATGGCATACGGGAGGATGAAATTGCCGGAGAACCACTGATTGGTTTAGAAGTTTACGATCGAGTGAAGAACATAAGCATTACATTTGGAAAGACCCAAAAAGGTCTTCGACAAGAACATGTGGAAGAAGAGATCAATTTTCTTTGATCTTCCATATTGGAGCCATTTAGAAGTACGACATTGTATTGATGTTATGCATGTGGAGAAGAATGTATGTGATAGTCTCATTGGCACATTGTTAAACATTCAAGGAAAGTCAAAGGATGGGATCAAAGCACGTCAAGACCTTTGTGAGATGGGAATACGTCCTGAATTACATCCAAGGCACTGAAGGCAATAGAACATATCTACCACCAGACATGTCACACCTTGTCAAAGAAGGAGAAACGTAGTTTATGTCATTGTCTTGCAAGTATTAAAGTGCCACAAGGATACTCTTCAAATATTAAGAGTCTTGTATCCATGAAAGATCTGAAGTTAATTGGATTAAAGTCCCATGATTGTCACATTTTGATGCAACAGTTGTTACCCGTGGCTATACGTAACATATTGCCTAAGAATGTTAGACATGCCATTATGCGACTATGTTTTTTCTTCAATTCTATTTGTGCCAAGGTTATCGATGAAAAATCACTAGATGAGTTGGAAAATGAGGCTACGGTTGTGCTATGTCAATTGGAGATGTATTTTCCTCCATCATTCTTTGATATAATGATTCACTTAATCGTTCATGTTGTGAGGGAGATACGAATTTGTGGGCCGGTTTATTTGAGGTGGATGTACCCAATTGAGCGATACATGAAGATCTTCAAAGGGTATTCTAAAAATCCATATAGACCCGAAGCTTCAATTGTTGAGCGGTATATTGCGTAAGAAGCCATAGAATTTTGTTCGGATTACTTGGCAAGAGTCGTACACTGTGGGTGTACCTAGAAATCGTCATGATGATAGGCTAAATGGTAAGGGAACTCGTGGTATTAGAATTCAAACAAAAGATCATGTAGAGTTGACCACCGCCCACTTGTATATTTTGAACAATACGGAAGAGGTTATTCCTTACATAGATGCGCATAAAGCAATGTTAAAGGACCTAAACCCCAAAATGGGTGAAAGGTGGTTGATGAAAGAGCATAACAACAACTTTATCAATTGGTTTCAAAGCAAAATATTTTCAAGTGACAATGCCTACGATACACTCTGAAATGGCTAGCACATGGGCCTAGACATAATGTTATAACTTGGCAAGGGTATGACATTAACAAATACTCATTCTATACGAAGGCACAAGATGACAAAAGTACGGTCCAGAATAGTGGA